CAGGTTACCAAAAGTTAGTACGTTAAAATTCTCCCAGCTGGAAATTCCTGTATATAACAGTTTTACATACCTAGGTGTTACCTTGGATTCAAAATTAACCTGGAATGAGCATATTAATAATTGCATTACCAAATGTGAAAAGAGCCTTAATATCCTTAAGGCCGTTAATCGATACGATTGGGGAGCAGACCCGAAAATTAACTTATTATTTTTCAGAGCATATACCAGATCAATTTTGGACTACGGAAGCTTTTTTTATGGATCAGCGACAAAATCTCGTTTGATTAAATTGGATCGAATACAATACAAAGCTTTAAGGTTAGTCCTAGGAGCTCTCAAATCTACTCCCACACCAGCCCTTTTGGCAGAATGTAACGAGCCACCTTTACATGTAAGACGTCTATTTTTGGCAGAAAAATTTATCCTTAAATGCCAGTTTAATAATCAAAACAGCTTATTACAAAAAATATCTTGTCTCTCTGTCGAAAATTTAACAAACAAATGGTGGGCAAATAAAAACTCCAACTCTAGCCATTGCTTTTCCTAATTTATCCCAGTATTCATTTAATGGAGGAGGGATTCCATTCTTTGGCTCCAATTATGACTCACTATATGAATATAAACCTACTGTAGTAATTCCTTCATATATTTCAATTGTTCACGAAGATTCAATAGTACAGAACAAGCTGGAAGACTCCATCCATTCTTGTAAAATTTATACCGATGGTTCAAAATCGCCTGCTGGTGTTGGCTGTGCCATTTACATAGACAATACTCAAGATTATTTTCAGTTTAAATTAAAATCAGATTGCTCAATATTCACAGCTGAATTGGTAGCCATTGTCAAGGCGTTGGATTGGATAATTAATAGCACATTATATTTCGAACGATATATAATTTTATCTGACTCACAGTCCGTCCTCCTCGCATTAAGACACTTTTCTAAACAAATATATACCAACAGACTAATTGTAGATGCACTTGAAAAGCTAAGAATCTTAACTTCTTTAAAAAGAATTGTTAACTTTGTGTGGGTTAAAGGTCACTCTAATATTATAGGTAATGAAAAAGTAGACCAGTTGGCTAAAGACGCTACTTTAGTGGGTATAGAGTACGAGTTGCCCAAATGGGATATAGTTTCAGCTAGGAAGAAATATGTTAGACATAATTGGGAAATTGAGTGGCAATCCTTTACTAACAGTAGCAAAAATACATACTGCAGTATATATCCAACTCTTCCATCTACTCCTCTAAGTGACAGAAGTCCCATCTCTCGGAAAATTTATACTATGTACGTTAGATGCCTTTTTGGAAATGCTACAGTAAATGCTTACTTATATAAAATAAAACTTTCTGAAACTGATATATGTGAATGTAATGGCAGTTATGACGATCTAAACCACTGGATGTTTCAATGTCGGTATAATCAAGAAGCCATAAAATTTTTATTTCAAGCCATCTCTCAAGAAAAAATCATTTTGCCGCAGAACGTTGCTTCTATTATGTATTTAGGTAGTCGAAATTCAACTATAAGATCATCAATTTTATGGGAATTTTTCAAACGTACCAAACGGAAAATCTAAACTGCCCTGTTCAGTGTAGTTGTGTGAATCCGAAATGGTAGGACGTTAGTTGTTGTATTTCCCATTGTCTTTCCTTTTATGTCTTTTACCTTTAACCGTTGCCTGTATTGTTTGTGTTACAAAAAAGTCGCTATGAAGGGCACCTTAGCGTGAAGCGTGTGTTCCTGTTCAATCCTTTTCGTATAGTCACACAATAGTGTTTTTAATGGGAAGGTTAGGAAATTGAGTGAATGTGGTGCGAATGAACGAACGGTTAGGAAATTGTTATGAATTTGAAGGATTGTTTTTATGTATTCTATATTCTTATACCTATATTGTCTGGCTAAATAGGTCTTGTACCTAAGGCCAAAAAAAAAATTACATAATGATAAATTAATAATTTTATTTAATTATAAATAATAACAAATAATAATTCAAATGATAGTATATATTTATTAATAAAGACCCTGAAAAACCGCGAAGTAGTAATCTGTGTAGTACAGCTCCTTTTAACTTAGTCATTCGGATTGTGACATTAAACTGCACACAAATATATGCAAAGGATTTGCCTACGCTCAAATTTGGGTATGGCGTAGAGACTACAGAAAAGTTCCACGATAGATAAATTAAAATTTGAAAAGATATCTTTTTTGTACTATTTTTATTATTTCCATGTATGTGCGAATATAATACATTTATTGGATATTAAACACAGTTGCGGTCCCAATCTTAACATTTCGTGGGTACTGCTTTGGTTAAGAGGTGGTTGTTGTTTAATTAGTAACAAATCCGATTTCTTACCAGCATATGGAACTCCTTCCCAGGAGTCTTTGCCCACATAGCTCTAGACAAGTAGTTGTGACGGGTCACGTTGTTAATGACCCAACCCAATGAACCGAAGACTTAAGATCTACTGTAGAATGTCTGTAATTCGGTGGTTTGGTTAGGTTCTAGAAGTTCAATATAAACGTATAAATATTCTCTTCAACCGCTTGTTAGGAAGAGTTGTATTATACTATGAGTAAGGTTATTGTAGACAGGTAGCTGAATATTGGATGATTGCATTTATATTCAATATATTATTGTACACAAGTTTTAACTTCAAATAAGCAGAGAATTTTAATTTAAAATATACCTTCATTGAATATTTTGAACTTTAGATTTCATCTTCCACCAATCTACTATCATGCAGGTGCATGAAATCCACTACATCTGACACATTATCAGAATACTTTTTAATATCATTCTCAGTCCTTTACTCGTAAATCTGAGATAATGAGTGAGGATACGACTAATAACATTTATACAGTGTAGTATACAAATATATTAAAAAAATGAATGGGAAAATCTCACTAGTTGGCTGTATACCATCGTTTAAAAAACTTATACAGAAGTAAAACACTTCACATTTGTATTTAGTTATAAAACATATAATTAAAACTTTTTTAAAAAGTGTCGTCAAAATTTATACAGAAGCATAACGTGACGTTTTCGATCTAATCAGATCATCCTCAGTGCCTTCTTGTAATTGAAGCTAACATAAAAATTGTAGCTGTGACATCAATATATGGATTTACATTATTCCAATATTCCAATATTATTTACATTATTCCAAATTAATTATACACTACTCAACAATTGAAGTGGATAATTTTAAAATTCCTAAAATTAACATATAAAACTAGTTTAAAAATAATTGCCTCTACTATACTCTATATGCTACCTTTATTGTCAATATTTTTTGTATGTGATTTTTTTCTCCCTGTTCTTATCGGCCTTATCTCGTACAAAGAGAGAAATGTTGTTCCAAATATGAATATATCATTCGTATAAAAGTGCTTGTATTGGCTTTACCAGTTGTCAATAAGTCAAGAAATCTATTTATCACAAAAACATTATGCCGCAAAGGCTTTTAGAACTAGTGCAGCTCGAGCAATTAGTTCGTTGGATCCAACAAGGCATAACTCAACAAGAGGTTGCTATGAGATAAATGTGTCGCAAAGTATGATAAGTCGTGCATGGAATCGGTATGTAGTAACTGGATCTGCAACATACAGGCATGGAGGAGGAAAAGAACGATCTACAACTCGTCGACAAGAAGCTAAGTCGGCTAATTTGTAGTTCTGACGGCAAGAAGAAACCCAACATTCACGGCTTCCAGAATTAACAGTATCTTCAGGCATGCTACTGGATGAGCAATTTCCAGTGAAACGGTCAGAAGACGGTTACAGGCATCCAATTTAAGGGCTTTACTCATCAAGGACTAACTAGGGAGCAGCGTGCATGCAGATATCGCTTGGCGATGGAACACTATCAGTGGAATTTCGAAAATTGGAAGAATTGTCTCTTTACTGACGAGTCCAGATTTCGTTTGTATACGAATGATGGCCGAATATTGGTGTGGAGGGAAAGAGGACAGCGTTACAATGAAAATTTGAGAGTCCCAACCACTCTTTTTGGAGGTAGATCCGTTTGCGTGTGGGGAGGCATATGCATTGACGGTCGCACGGACTTAGTCGTCTTAATTAATGAGACAATGACTGCTACCCGATATCGAGACAGAGTCATAGTACCAATAGTTGTTCCATTTTTGGTGCAATAGGCGAACAATTTGTTCTGATTGATGATCATGCTCGCCCTCACCATGCGAGAATTTTCAACGAGTGTATAGAAGCTCATGGCATTACAAAAATGGAGTGGCCACCATGTTCACCTGATATAAATTGCATTGAACATGTTGGGGCCGAAATGTCTAGGCAACAAAACAGGTTCCTTCAACCGCCCCAAACCTTAGATCAGTGGGCCAATACATTACGCGCGATTTGGGAACGTATACCGCAGCAGTTCATCAATAATTTAGTAAGAGGTCTTCCAAATCGAGTTAGAGCATTAAGACGACACAGAGGTGGACCCATACACTATTAATTTTTCTTTCCGGGATATTAGAAATTGAGCAGGAATAGAAATTTTAGGTTGTTAATTGTACAATTTTTGTTTATTTTCTATTTTTTTTTTTTTCTTAAACAATTTCTTTCGGTTCATCTGTATGAAAATACGAAGTAAAAATAAATCTTTATTTATATCACTCCATTTTCCTATTTGACCATATGAACAAAAAATAAAATACACATTTTCATAATATCCACTTCAATTGTTGAGAAGTGTATTATTCCACAATAGATTTTAAATTTGGAATAATGTAAAACCATATATTGATGTCACAGCTACAATTTTTGTGTTAGTTTCAATTACAAAAGAAGGCACTGAGGATGATCTGATTAAATCGAAAACGTCACGTTATGCTCCTGTATAAATTTTGACAACACTTTTTTAAAAAGTTTTAATTATATGTTTTATACCTAAATACAAATGTGAAGTATTTTACTTCTGTATAAATACATTAAATTGAATAATAAACTAATCAAAACATTTTTATAGGGAGGACCTGGAGCTCCAAATATTAATCCACAAGTGGGCCAAGTTGGTACTTCTCCACAGATGTCCGGAGCAAACCCGATTACTTCTCAAAATACACAACAGAATATGTTGATTTCTCCCACAAATAGCATATCGATGGGCGGGGGTCAAATAACTCAAAACGTTAGTTCTGCATCACAACCAGTACAAGGAATGGGCGGTATCATAAACCAGAATGTATCACAGGGAGGTATGAGACCAAATATTAGGATGCCAGGTATTCAGCAAGGTAACCTTTTTATATTCAATAAACTCATATTTAATTTTATTTGCCAATAAAAATCTAAAGTTGAAAGTGTCACATGAAAAATGGCTTTTCATGTGACGCCCTAAAAACTATTGCCAAAAATATTACAAAACTTCAGATGTCAGATAAAAATACCTATCGAAAAATATTAGTTTAATGTGAAGTTTGTCCTATTTATAAGTTTACTTTATCATCATCATTCGTGATCTTGTATATCCTATATAAACTCATGTTTGTCTTATATTTTATATCGTTAAGTGGTTTGCATCAAGCACAATGCCTTTCTTCTCTAAATTTTTATTAATCATCATTTCCTACTAATTCATCATATCCCGACTTTTCTGAACCAAGACTTGCAATTTTTCATCTCTGCTGTTTTTAACATTATTTTGTCTCCTCTGTGTCAGCTCGTGTTTCTTCCGCGTATGTCATTATTGGTCTGATGACTGTTTTGTAAATTTTGCGTTTCATTTATTTCTATTTCGGTTATAATAAATTGGTGCGGCATACGTTGTAAATCATCTTTACTTTGAAAGAGTGGTATTGCGTCGTCTGCAGAGCAGTTGTTTTTCTCCCATCTCTCTCTTTTTTAGTTCTTACTTTTTTATTATTTAATCCATAATCAGGTTGAACAGTAGAGGACTTTTTCTATTACTTTTATAGCTAGATCCATATTACATATATTTTTTTAAAGTTTTTTCGTAAGCACTATTATATTATACTAATTATTTTAGGAAACAATAATCAACCCAACATGATGCAGAATCCTGTACCGAGTTCTGCTCCTTTAGAAAATCAGCTTGAAGTAGAACGCAGGCACAATTTGGAAAAAATAAATCAGCTTAAACAAACGTTGGAAGCTGCTCAACAACAAGAAAGGCAATACAAAAGTCAATTGGAAAAAATCAGTTATATGAAGACTTCTCAATTAGAACAGGCTTTACAAGCAGCTCAGCAAACTGAAATGCATTATAAAATGCTGGAAAACGTAAGTACACAGCCTTACGATAGCGCTAAAACTTATGCAGTAGTGTTAAACATAAATGCTTAATGACAGATAAGTGGTCTTGGTGGATATTGGTTTCCATCTTGGTTTCTAGATAACTTAACTAATCTTGCTATCAAAAGGCTTTAAACAGTGAAATTATGTTAAAAGTTTCCTCCATTTATCTTTGATTTATTTTTTGTAATTTTATATAATGTATAATAAAAAAAATAATTACAAAAACTGTCAACATACCTTTTAAAGCTTGTACTAATACTTCCATTGTAAAATCAATTAGAATTAGAATTTTACCAATTAATACAATTATCGATTTTCTGTTATTTAGCAACAAAGACAACAGATAGCCACCCAAGGTGTTCAAGGCGCACAACAAGCGCCTACAGCTCAACCTCAGCAGAGACTTATGAGACCAGTTATGTCAAATAATCCTGGACTACGACATCTTTTACAGCAAGTAAGATATAAAACATAAACATATTTATTAATTAATTAATTAATCAATTAATTAATTTATATATATATATATATATATATATATATATATATATATATATATTATGATTGTTTATTTTGACTTTGATCTTAGTTTATTGAGCCAATAAAAACAATATAACTTATTTGTTATCAAATGTAAAATAAAACTCCTTATATTACCTGTGTTCGATGGATTCAAAGATTTTTAGTTGTCCTTTATCGGGATAGGGAAGAAAGATAATAATAAAAGAAAATATTATATTACAAAAAATTACGTGTTCTTTATTTTATATGAACGAATAAAACAATTATCAAATTCAGCCGTTATCTTATCAATCAGCATACAAGAAAATAAATGAAATATTCATAATATTAAGATTTTAAAATTACATAAATTTATATTAAGTGAAAACCAATTTTAATTAAACTTTCCTTTACTTTTACAAAAACTTTCGGAGACTTTCTTTTACTTTACAAAAAAAAACAAATTTTAAACTTTTGATTAGTCTAACAAAACTCAGTTCTTAAATTTGAATGATAATGACCATGATGTCAACACAGATCCTTCACAGATACTAATTTCAATTGTACAAAAACACTTACAGCTTTTTTCCTTATTAAATTGTATGTTGGAACATACCCAGAAAAAAATCCAGTCTCCTCAACGATGTGATCTCTCCTTTTTGGCACCTCGGCTCCTTCCGGACGTGTCTGCAAACCTCCTGCACTACCCAGAAACACCTTATTCACTTCTCCAAACACTCAGCTACTTATTTATGACACAAGGACCTCCTTTTGTCAACTTGGTGCCGTAAAACAACTTTCATATATAATTCACAAAATGCCCGCGGTAGATACACGGACCTCTTTTAATCCTTGTTATCTCCTTCTGTCATACTATTCAATTCTTTTCACAATGCCGGTATCCAACTCACGAACCACACCCTATCTTGAGACACACGACTGTTTCCTTCGATGACCAAATTATAACTAACCTCTCTGGTCCCCCTGATCGGCTCACAAATTCCCATTCAAAAAACGACCGTCCAACCAAAAGCTCAAATTGTGTTTACCATGATTTTGGAAAAGCCTAATTTCTGTTTCAGAGAAAAACTAAATAGCTTACTTTAAAATTGGTTTTGTCAATACACAATTTATACATATTTCAAAAGATTAAAATATGGTCATTTAATACTTGATTATACAAAAAATGAAAAGATTAACTTACAAGTAAAATGTCTTCTAATTCTAAACAAAGAGGTTTTTTGATAATTTTGTTGGAAACGGAAAAGGTCGTTTGCCAAACAAATTTCTATTCTTATCTACACTAAATCTTATCTTAAATTACTACATACAATTTGTTTATACTGATATCTTAAAATTTTATGGGACTGGCACTCCCTCTCTGGTGACCCAGGATCTATTTCAGGTCCACAGTCTTCGAAGCTCCAGATCTCACTTTATTACTACTCTCACTGGCATTATTATAGTGCCAATGAGTATGTTAAATATTTTGTTGCCCATATTAGGCATGAGATTATAATGTCTGTATTGTTTGCAGCAACCTCAGTATCGACAGCTTATCGCCCCAATGGGAGGGAATGGCCCTAGGAATCAAATGGGTCAACAGATGCAAAATCCACCTGGTTCGCAGCAAAACACGTTTGATGAAGTTGGAAATTTCGATTTCAATAATATTATTTAAGTGTATTTATTTCTACATATATACTTTGTAAATTTTAATAAAAGAACTATTATTATTTTTGTAATTTTACTTAAAAAACTTTTTAATTGCCTTAACTCATACTTATAATATTGTGGTATTATTCCGAAAATATTATAATTCATATAAAGAATAAGTTAAAACGAAAAACGTGTAACATAGTTTCGCATTTTGTTTATATAAAATATGTTTAATAATTTGAATCGAGTACATTCATAAATATACTCGAATTAGAATTTGTAAGTCAGCAATATTGCCAACCAAGACATACGATTGTCGTAGGTCGTTAAACAAACTTGACACACTAAGAAATAAACCGCTGATATAATCAAAGTCTACTATAAAAGCGACAACAATCATTATCTCGAAGATCAGAACTAATTTAAAGTCAAGATGGTAAGTTAATGTATCGCGTATTGATAATTATGAGGGAGTCTCATATCAGCTTCACATAAGTACGAACTACGATTAGAATAAGTAATGTTATGTAAAAGTGTACTGTTGTGTTCCAAATAAATGGTCATTTAATTTAACAACCACGTTATTTACCATTACGACGTTATTTACCATAATATACTAAATGACACTGATAATACTAAATGAAACTTAAAAAATATATTCTTTATGCCATATTGCGTTTTGAATACAAGAACAAAATAGGAAACGAATGAATAAAATACTTATGCCCGAAAAGGATGTCAAAGATGGTGAAACAATTTTATAGTTAATTTTACTAACAATTTGACAAAATGTCAGTAGATCCACAAGAAAGAATAACAGCAGCGATCAAAATACAAAATGAAGTAGTTCAAGCACTAAAAAAAAATAACGAAAAGTAAAGCAGATGGACCGTATGATATTCTTATGATGATATTATTGAGAAGTGTGGACAACGTTGTGATTTGACGTAACATATTTGGTTAATTACGACTGAACAACCAACGCCAAGTGACTGGAGAAGAAATATCCCACTACAAGATCACTATATTCATAACGTAGTTAATCAAACTCCCATTTTTACATACATTTAAGAATAGGAGAATACATTGATAACAGGTTGCTAGTCAAAAAGTGGCGGCAAATAATTTTTTGAAAAAAAAATTATTTCATCTCTTTATTTTTTAAATAAACTATTCTGCTCTTGATGTAGATGTATGTTTTTATATCAAATTAAAACGAATTATCTTGTAATATGATGATATAAGATTGCCTAACCAAAAGTGGTCGCAAACTAGGGTTGCCAGCTGTTAAAAAAGCAAGGTATCAAAGATAAAGTTAGCGCGCAACAATACTGGTCTGACAAGTGATAATATGTATATTATTAACAGTAAAGAATTACCCATAAAGAAGACAAGACAAGTGACAGTATGTATATTAATTACTATTTAACTGGGAATAAGCCACAATTAAAGATAAAAATACGTTTATTGACGTTTCAATTTCCACGGAAATCGTTCTCAAAATGCAAACAGTAAATTAAACAAATTTTGTTTTTTGTTACATAGTAAAAAATTCTTCTAATAATTTAATTTTATCTGACTCATTTATATTGACAATTCAGACATACATTATGCATTTTAACATATAAAATCAGAATTTTGGTGTTTATTGAAGGTAAACTAAATGCGCGAACAAATACTTACCATGTCGGGATAGTATTATGAGGTTTTTTTCCTGGTTTTTCCCTCATAATTTACTATGGAATCACTAACAGGAGAATTTTACTGTCATCATGTCATGTGTTTGTCTTTTTAAAGACGAATTATATGCTATAATTTTTTCTGAGGAATATTCTCAAGTTAAAGTTGATTTCATGTAATCGAATGAACTATCTTATAAGTAAAGTCGTCCCAGGAGCGCAACTCAACAATATTTCAATATAAGGTTGAATGTTCGAATAATTAAACTTTGAGGGTGTACAAGGCAACTATCGAACACGGTGATTAATTTATTCTTGCCCAAGTACTTTCGATCAATAGATCATCTTCAGGGGCATTTCGTCAATTGTGGCCTATCCGACATAGTAGAATGTCATAAATGTAAAATCTGGACATAACAATACAAAATACACTACACTAAGACAAACAAACACTTTAAAATTTATATGGAGAAGCTACATATTGTGAAGAACTGTCTCCGGCTTCTTCACAATATGTAGCTTCTCCATATAAATTTTAAAGTGTTTGTTTGTCTTAGTGTAGTGTATTTTGTATTGTTATGTCCAGATTTTACATTTATGACATTCTACTATGTCGGATAGGCCACAATTGACGAAATGCCCCTGAAGATGATCTATTGATCGAAAGTACTTGGGCAAGAATAAATTAATCACCGTGTTCGATAGTTGCCTTGTACACCCTTAAAGTTCAACAATATTTGCAATATCATTTTAAAGTCGTCTACTTTAAAATGCATAATTTATGTCTGAATTGTCAATATAAATGAGTCAGATAAAATTAAATTATTAGAAGAATTTTTCACTATGTAACAAAAAACAAAATTTGTTTAATTTACTGTTTGTATTTTGAGAACGATTTCCGAAGTGGAAATTGAAACGTCAATAAAGGTATTTTTATCTTTAATTGTGGTTTATTCCCAGTTAAATAGTAATTAATTTAAAATGCCACAAGAAAATAGCTTCAGAACAATAGTATGTATATTATTAATACCAAAGAATATCCCACCCACAAAGAAGCGAAAGTAAAGGCTTTTTCACAATCCAAATTTCTTTGCGCATGCGCGAATCCGCCATATTTCAATTAGTTAACGTAAAAACTGTTACAAGTTTTAAGTTTTGTTTACAACAAACTGTTTGTTACTTTTCATTTTTGATTGTATTAGTATTCGATTATATTTGATGGTTGTGAATATCTAATTTTATAAAAAAGTATAAAACTATTGTTATAATTAACTCTTATTGTGATGGCTGCACTGAAAGGAGGATTTTCTTGTGTGGTTCGTGGATGCTCATCTAAATCTGGTGAAGGATTAAGTCTCTTTTCAATACCGAGAGATTGGAGCAGGCGTAAACAAATTAAATTTATACCTCCAAAAAAGAAGGAGGTATTCTGATGAATATAAACAACTTTCATTAACACTATATTGTTTGGGTCCAAGAGCCTATGCTGTTATGGAAAACAAATGTATTTGCCCTCAAAACGAAGTCTTCAGAAAATTACTAAAAATTTGGTCTGTACACCTGGTTTAAATAGTGACCAAATGTTTCATGCCCTAAACTCAAAAGTAAACACAATGTTAGACTAGGACAAGCACTAGTATTTTTATTGATAAAATGTCAATTAAAAGTAATTTATTTTTTGATACAGGTCGTGATGAAATTGTTGGTCTATATGATATATGAACTGGAAAAAAGGAATCGATAGTTGCACAAAATGTACTTATGATAATGATTCGAGGCTTGTATTCAAATTGGAAACAGCAACTAGCATATTTCTTTGTAAATACTAGCTTTGAAGCAAATCACCCTCCTATTATAAAAGAATATATTACTAAACTATTTCAATTAGTGGTATTACTACTGATATGGGATTGAATTTTCTAAAATTGAGTAAACTCCTTGGGATTTTTCCAACTAACCCAGAATCGACGCGTAACGTTCCAGAATATTTGTAATTTAGTGAGTTTTTGAAGTTGAGAGAGATAAAATAAAGTTAGTTAAACCACGCTGGCTTCACTTAATCCAGGAACCCACAGAACAACGTGTTCAACAACAACAATTGGTGTTTTAAAGCATGGGATTAAGTGAAAGAAGTGTCCAGAATTTGAATTATTGCCGTAAAAACAAGAAGCGATACCAAGGTGGTGGAAATGGACCAACATCGAGGTAAGAAAAATAAGCTGATGAGGAATGTTGTCTGAAAGAAAAAGAAGCTGATGGGGAATGTTGCTTCTAAGAAAAAGGAAGTAGAAGAGAAACATCATCGTTTGGAAAAAAAAACCTCGACAAGATATTGGAGAAAAACGGTGGAAGACAGAGAATTCATCTACAATCATGGATGGGCAAACGAACAGAAGGCAACAGCTCTCATATTAGCACTTTAAGGTAAAGTTATCGAGATCTTCCAAAATATCCCAGATGAGGCACAAAAGAGCTATTATACCATCGTATCACCTCTAGACGTAAGATACGGCAGCCAATATGTAAAGCAAGTATACCAGAGTCAACTAAAAGTGTGTATCCGGGGCTCCAACGAATCTGTGCAAGATTACAGAGCGGAAGTAATAAAGATTTCCCGAAACCCCGGAAGAATTTCTGCACCACTTTACCATCCAATATTTTCCCGATGGCCTGTGCAATGTAGACCTTCATCAGACAACACGACTATTAATAGGACGCTAAAACGAAGCTTTTGCATTTCTTGAAGATATGCGTAAAAATATTCGGCATATGGAAATATGGAAAAGTCGAGTAACCGCTGATCTTCTCCAGTGGTGTTGGTAACCAAGAAAGATGGTTCCATAAGATTGAATGGCATCACCAAGAAAATCAGCTACCCACTGCCCGGAATTGATGATATCCTTAGCGCCTTTTTAGTGTTTCAGATGCCATTATGATTTAAAAAATCAGCTATCGACATGGAAAGATTAATGGAATCTTTACTGTTTCACAAACTATACCAGATACCACACTTTACAACCAGTTTCTCCACAAATTACTTGGTTTAAAAGTTTTAGAGCTCCACATAAATATATAACCTTCATAAATCGACTACTCTTTGTACATGCGTGTTACCCAAGTCATTTATTTAAAATAAATTGCAAACATTGCGGTAAATTGGGTGATCTTGATCACATCTTTTTTGAATGTCCTATGTTTCAACGGCATTCAAACTTTCTTTAAAAAATTTAATTAAATTTAATATATATATATATATATATATATATATATATATATATATATATATATATATGCACCATTCAATGCACACATTATACGGCATGGAAACATTGACGTTAAGAGTACCTTCCATTAATAAGTTGGAGGCCGTCGAAATGTGGACGTTGTGAAGAATCTT